ATAGGCCCTTGGGCTCTACATGAGCAATGTATCCCCGACCCCAACCTGCTCCTCCTCCAGCATTCCCTCCTGCAGTGAAGGACATCACCATCTCTCTGGTCATTCAAGCCAGGAGTTGTCCTCCCAAATTCCCCTATATACTGATGGTCACTGCATCTCATCACCTAATCCACCTCCCAAACAGTTCCGAATTCTCTTCCTCTTCTTCATTGCCACCATCATTCCCTTGAGGGGGTGGCGTATCGCTCCCCCCTGGGGTGCTACCAGAACCTCCAGCACTGTATTCCTGCCTTCCAACGTTCATTCTCTACACTTACCAGTGATCTTCGAGAGCACAGTCTGGTAATGTTCTGCTCTAAGCTTCCACTGGGGCTCCATCACCTTCAGAAGATTGCCTAGATTCTCAGTCATCCTGTTCACCTGGCTAACCACTTGTTTCATAAGGTAACCACATGCAACCTTTGGTCCACCAAACCGTAGGCCCCTGCATGCTTCCATGCTTTTACCCACAGCTCCTTTTGTCCAGCTCATCCTTTAGATGGAGTTTAAATGGCACGGGGAACATTTCTCCTGACCTGCACTCCCTGCCATTCTATTCAGAGCCTGGTTCCTCCCTCTGGGTTTCCCTAACATGTGGACAAAGCTCTTCCAGAGTGATGGCCACACGGCATAGGGAGAGCTGGTCTACACCTACCTCACCTTTCCAGGGGGACCTCTTTGAGGTCAAGGGCTAAACTTTCATCTTTCTATCTCCAGCAGCTATCACTGAGTCTGTCACTCAATAAATGTTGCTGTTAAAAGTAAAGAATGAAGAGAAAGGATGTTGAGAAACCTAAAGCATACATAACTACTTGATAAAAACTGTCACCTGGAGTCAAACTGAGGGCTATACAAAGTCATGTTCTGGCTCTGACAGCAATTCCTGTGGATTTTCAGGAAGAGGGGATAGAATCATAACACATAAAGCTAAAATGGTCCTTTAAGGTCATCTAGGTTAACAGTCTCATTTTATAGGGCCCAGAGAGGTTGAGTGGATTCCCCAGGTCATAGCTCATCAAAACAGAACTAAACAAACCTGGGTTTTCTAGACCTCATACCCACTCTTCCTATAATTTCAGTGCTGTTCGCAAGGGAAAATTGGGACCGTTCTCTAAAATCTCCTACAATTC